GTAAAGTCAATACAATCACTTCATTAAATACATTCATGGGTCCAAACAGTATAAATTGCATCAGTAGGTGTGGCACAGAAAATTAGTAGGTGTGGCACAGAACTAGTATTTATTGCAAGTAATTTTTCTTTGTTTGTCAAAGAGCAATGAACTCCTCTTCCGCTAGGTGGCAGCAGATGGTTATTAAAACAAATTAAAAAGATTATCAGAGCTGTTGAAGAAGATCTTTGTGTCTTTCTTCAATTCCTATCGGTATATTAGCGTTGTTTTCAACTAAACAGGAGTTTGGTTTTTTTTAGTAAATTCAAACTAGAATATTGCTATATTTCATTACATAAACCTTTTGTTTGGTGGTGTGCCATGGGGTTTTCCCTGATGATATATAACACTGAGCTAGTATTACGGTAGTTCAACGTAGCCACACACCGACTCTGAAAGCTAACGGACTTCTTCATTTAAAAGGTCGACACTCACCTGCATGCCGATGATGGCGAAGATGAAGAAGAGCATAGCGATGAGCAGGCACACGTACGGCAGAGCCCAACCAGGCAGGAGAAGAAGAAGAAGAAGAAGCAGGAAGTGAGGCATGCTGGGATTTTACAGAAGACACAGTGTGTAAAAAAAAAGTCATTGACTTCTTACCTTGAAGGACTGGACAAAGGTCCAGAGCAGGATGCGGATGGTTTCTCCCTGTCTGAGCAGCTTGATGAGGCGAGCGGCTCTGAAGAGCCTGAGGAAGCTCAGGTTGATGAAGTTGTTCTACGGCAGGGAGTGAGAAACCAGTGTGACTTTTTATGGCCCGCTGCACACATTTGCATTATTTAACATACAAATAAACACTGCAGAACTTAAAACTGGACACAGCTGTAAAAAAAAAAAAAAAAAAAAAACAAGAGCGGGAGACAGACAGAGAGGAGAGGAGGGGGAGTCAAGGCTAGTAGAACTTTAAATTAGATTAAAAGAAAATTTGTGAAAACAGAGGTAAGAAAAACAAACTTAAATTTAAGAGTCAAAGGTCATCATCCAATCTGGTAGAGCAGAAGGCTTTTATTTTTTTTATTTTTTTTTAGGAGAACCAAATGCACTGATCTCAGAGGGAGCAGGCAGGCCACACAAAATGGAGCACAGTGCTCTGAGCCTGTCAACCATTCACAGAAAACATGGGGGGCGTGGCTTCTGTTTTTGGCAAATATGATTTTTACAATAATTTACAATAAAAATTAAGATTAACTGGATTGTTCTGGTAATATTATGTTGCTGAAAATGTAGTAACCTCATAAAGCTTAAATAATTAACCAAAAATGAACGCAGCTAAGCTAACTTTAAGCCTTTGTTTAACATGTAGAAGCCAAACGTCCTCATGTGTCTGTGACGTATGTTTGATTGACAGCCACGGCAGAGGGAGAAGCATGAGGAGGGAGAGAGGGAGGAAAAGTCCGACAGTCAACCCTGGTGCAGGCATGACATGGCAGCAAACTCTGAACATCGGTGGAGAGGGGGAGTTGAGCGACATGCAGGCCACTAGGGGGCAGTATGTGTGGACCACAAAATCTCAAGTAACGATCTAAAGTCTGAATAAGTTGCACTGAGACTGAGATTTCTGAAAGGTTTGCTTCATTTACAATTTATATTATATATCATATATATAAATATATATCATATATATATTATATATATAATATATATTTTAGTTATATATGCTCCAATATATTTGTACATTTATGATCTTCAAGCAGGTACTACACGTAACTGTACGTAACCCTAGAGGGCATGTTTAGGTACTACATTATTGTAATATTTTAACTTTGATCAAGAGTTACACAGATAATCTTCATATATATATACATATATATATATATATATACAAATATTAGTAAAACAAATGTAAAAAATGTAATTCATGTGACGTTTCTGCAATTTTGCAGGATGAGAACATTTTACGACAACTGTTGACGATCTCATTTTAAACCTACTCCTACAGTTGATGACAGTAATACTCCTGCAGTAGTACTGCAGTAACATGAGTACATGTGTTTGTTTTTGCTGTCATCTAAGCGGGGGTTCGAGGGTCCTGGGCGGGGACGGGGGGGG